TTTATTCTCTGATAACCCAAAACTCCTCCCGCATACGTGCACCATCAGTATTCCACTGCACGTCTGCTCGTGATGTGTATAAGTTAACGTTTCCAAATGACTGTTCTCAAAAGATTTATTTCCAATCGAATGTTTTCAACAGTAAAATATGCAATGATGTCGTGTACTTACATACATTACAGAATAATAAATTATTGAATAATATATGAAATCGGAAAAAAATGTTTATTCATATAATCGGTAAACATTATATTAATCTATACAGTGAATACTTTCATAGGCAAAAACAACACAAGCCAGTTTTAATTAATAAATAATTTAAATCGGAACTATAAGGAATTGACACTCATAACATTTYCTAATGGACAATCCTTAAAAATTACACGTTGGCAATCCCCTTAATTGTAAACATTATGCTAAGAGACCAGATTTATTTCAAAAAGGTCACAAAACAATTCACACAACGCAGAACAACCGTTTTTATTGATGATCAAAAATAACATAAAAAATTCGTGACTATTCCTGGTAAGCCTGTATAGAGCGTGTGTACTTGTATATGCAGAGTGATTCCTTCAAAAGTCTCTACACTTATTATTTTAAAAGGTTAATTTTTTTTTTTTTTGTATTAATGGTAATATAATCGAATGTCATTGCAGAAAACAGAATATATGGAAAAAAAAATCTATTTTTACAATGTTTTATCATTTAATATTTTACATTTTAATTCAGAACATAAATTCTTTATGCTATTTTTATACATATAAATCGAATTATTATAAAATGTAATTTTGGTTTCCAAAAATTTCGATTTGCAATGAAATCAAATTGCACGTAAAAATAATATGATCGAAAAGTCGAAAGCTATTCGAAATAACGAGTCCGTAGACATTTAAATTACGGATCGTCTAGTAGGTATCATAATATATTATACTATAGTAGACATATTATTTTATTTATAATATGTAATAAATCATCATTCATCGTGCTACGAAACCGATCGCGGTGGCGCCGCGGACATTGCACAATAATTTCACACGTCGCGAGTGTAGCTTGCAGGCAGCCTACGCTTTCAATCGATATGAAAAATATAATGATCAAACGGCAAACTCATATAACATGTATATTACACGATTGTATACCTCTTCTATATACACACGACGACTGTCAACAAYAATTTAACGATTATCACAACAACAACAATAGTAATAATAATAGAAATCATTATTTATTAYCATTGCGGCGGCCTAAACTATTCCTCCTAGCACAATCGTCACCCTGTCCGCCCGTTACACCTAACTACAGGAGGAGCCGCAGGAGGTGTGTGTGTGTGTGTGCATGATTGGCGTCGTCGTCACTTTATCGTCGTGACAAATTCGCATCGGCATTCGTTGGCAAACGACAATGTGGGACTCACGGCTCTAGCATAGTCGGCGAATGCCGAACCACGGCGGCGGTAAATCTGCTACCTAAACGCGACGGGCGTGCATAGCACAGCGCGCGTACATAAAACCCGCGTACTCGCGCGAACAGTACACGCGCGTACACGCACGCGCAAGCGCACCGCCACTCTCCGGGCCGCCGCGTTTGTGTTGTATATATGCTACAAGTTTTAGAACCGAAAATAGCGTTCATTCCGCCCGGCCGCCCGGTGCCAACAAAACGCCATCGCACACAATCGCGCCGCGCTGGCGTGTGCCAATAACCACCAATATAATACGCTCTAAATAGGTCCGTCTATAACCCCATTACGACCGGTGCTGCGCCGCGATCACCTTGTCTCCAGGACGAACGTCAAAATAATCGCCAAACGACCCCGGCCGTCACCTGCGCACCGCCGCCCCGCTTTGTGCTCGCATAATCCTCGCCGCCGTGAACACACCAATGTACGCACTATATAATATAAAAATATAATAATACATAGATTACACGTAATGTAATTGGTGTTGCGCGTTATGCGGCGTCTATGAATATAATGTCGAGAGAGAGAGAGAGAGTGTGTGTGTGAGAGAGAGAGGAGGAGAGAGATACTGCAGAAGTGCGCACACACAGAGTGAATAGATTGTTTGGCGCGAGAGTCCCTATAGGTACAGATACCTCTATACTATGATGAGATGTACACCTGTATAAGCTTTGTTCGATTATTCTGTGTATGCGAATAATAACGATATGTAATACACAACGTCCCAAATGATACAAGCTGAAAATGTATCGAAACACCATTCATATTAATAATAATAAATAAAAAATTCAAACACATCATATACAGGTAATTATAATGATGCGCAGCCTCTATAATATCTAGATACGGTTCCTGATGATATTATATAATAATGTTGTGCCAACTGGTTGTACTTATTTTAAATAAAAACTAAATTTTGATTCTACTTTAATATATACAGGAAGAGAAAGAAATTATTTGTATACTAAACTAAAAATGATTATTCATATTAATAGTAGTAGGTAATGTTTTTATTTTTAATTCTAAGATTTGAGAATTTAATACAAGGCTCATAATATATTTTTACAATAGCAGTTGAAAAATACAAGAAATGTATAGTCACATTTTTTTTTGTTTTTATTTTTAATTCTAATTTATTATAATCATTAGTCTTGGATTAGTAATACCTAATTTTATTCTACGATAGTATTATACGGTATTTTACCTTGGTGGATAATAATGTAAATGTATCAACCGTTTGTTACAATATATATCTAAACTGTAAACAATTCTAGCAATAAATATTATTATTAGTAGAAGTAGTATACAAAGTTTGGGTTCCGATCGCATAGTGGCCCCCCGCACGTCACGGGCCGATTAAACCGTCGGAATAGTACGCTTTTTTTACTCCCCCTCGTTTAAACGGAAGCCGGTCGATTAATTTTTGGAACTTACTCCGAGAGGAAACGTCCCCGTGTGTGTGCGAACGCGTCTATTTATGACGCTAACTGGGTCATACGGTTCAGGTGCGTATATAAAAGACTGCCGTAGGGTTAACTCACGTACACAGTATACGAATAGGTATATATTATATTTTATATATATGTATTATGTATATGTATAGTGTCATATAGTGGCGTCACGGTTGCAGCGGCGGCGACGGTGGAGGCGGCGGAGTGGCGGCGTCGGTCGTATTTCTAGACTCGGCCGCCCGCACCCGGTGGACCAGCTCTGTGTCAAGGACGTTGTTCAACGACGACTCCGAAGGATAAAAAGGACGACGGCATTTCGCTATGCAACCGCTTTTCAGGCAGGAGAAAGCCGCGTATATACGCGACAAATAGTATAACGCAAGTGCATATATATTTATATGCATGTACTACCTATGTGTGTATGTGAACGCGACGTATATAATATGATCATTGTATACACCCAGATTTACTATACGGATTTCGATCTACGCGGTTGTATACGCTGTTGAATGAAACGTCCCACACTCGGATGTGGCAAGATCTCCACACGATCGCACCGATTCGCCAACGATTGATGTAGAATAAATTAATGAACGGCCGCGCGTATATCGTTTAACATCTACATAATATAATTATTATAGGATTGGTGTTATTGTATACGCCCAGGCCGCGTCAATCCAGAATATTCTGCCCTTGTTTTGTGCTTCGAGCGATTTATAAAAAGAACAATCGCGTTTCCTGGTTATATCATTTTKATATTATTATTATATTTGTTATATTACTGCAGGATGACGACCGGCATGCTTGCTGCAGTGTCTCTTAATTACACAAAATAATCCTGCCGCCACGCTCGTATACATACAGTCCGAGCCAATTTGGCGACTGCATTTAATATTTCCTCTGGCCCGGAGAAAAAAAAATAAAAGTCAAGACTCTAGAAACACGGTAGAGTGGTTGCATTAGTGTGTTTTCTTTGAGTTTTAAAATTAATTATTATGGTCAACGAACGTCGGCGAGTTAGTGAAATAAAAAATTATAGTTTTGTACATTCCAAATGTTTTATTCCAAAATACAGAGCGATGATCGTCGTCGAGAATATAACAAATTTTAAATAGGTAATGGCTAAAACGACAATAACCATAATAGATACCGATTTATTWATTGCGAAAATAAATTATGAACAGTCGAGATATTAAGACAACGAACGATTCATTAAAATTACGAAACTTTGCATTGTGAAGAATTTGTGACCAATTTATAAGATAGCATTACAAATTCTAATAGTAAGCACACAATAAAGCTCCTCTGACATTGACGAWTTACTTCTAACTACGAAATGTCCACCGGGATAATTACCGGTGATAAGGTTCGAATAAAATAATATTATTTAGATTTATAAAGAGACGACTAGGCGGTTTGGCAAACGTCCTGTTTTTTTTAAACCACACTGTATAAATATATATATATATATATCCACACACACACACACATTCATACATACATACATACATACATACATACATACATACATACATATACATACATACATACATACATACATACATATACATACATACATACATACATACATACATATACATACATACATACATACATACATACATACATACATACATACGGAATATATATATATATATGCGTATCGCGTGCGGATGCGACGTTTATCATTCGTAATCATCTACTGACAGGAATATTTTCTGGCGTAAACCGGCCGAAACTAATCTAGGACGTGTTTCGAAATGCTAAACGAAAGCTAAAATCTATGATTAAAAGGATTTCGAACTTATCCTATGAACCAATTGCCAGAGAATAGTTAGGCGACTGTAAACCTCGGAGCGCAACAGTTGGTCGGTCCAGAGAAAAGCGACGTGACTTTACAGCCACATTCGAAATCAATTCGGTCGAGTGATCTACACTGTTATATTCACGAATTAGTGCACCTATATACGAGTAATGTCATCTTTTAMTATTATATGAGTACATTATTATGTCTTTATCATTGCTCGATCAATCGCATAATWTATCACGTAAAATGTTTAAATTGAAYTATATATTTTGTGCAACAGTACCTTGACAGTGTTTACAACAGCATTTGGCATCTGGTACCTCTGTGCTGCTGCTGACCGGCATAATGACCCAGTGACTCTACGGGAGACGACCTCCGCGCTCGCCGTTCCTCCCATAACACGCGCCCCTTGCCACCGCGCGCATCACCGCCGATGGCCGCCGGGACCGCCGCCGCCGTTCCTCCGTCGGTGTCGATGGCGATTAGGTCGGTACGACAACGGCGACAACGGGCCGACCCCTAGAGTAAGCGCTCATCGGTGGATGGTTGCAGGCGCCCMGAGGACGGGAGTCGAAAGAGGTATTGGCGACGAGTCGATAGTACACACACGACACACCGTACTACGTTACGGCGCGATACGAAGATACGATTCAAGACGACGGCGGCGGTTAATTTTCGTGTGCTCGCTCGACACGAAATTATCACAAATATATAAATTTTTTTTTTCGCTTTATACGTGTGTAGTATACCTTCGAATATATAATATGACGAGCGAGAAAATCGGAAAATTCGAATGCGTTTTCTCCGGGATGTGAATCATGCGGACCAAAGCTTCTTTTTGGACGTGCGTGTACCAGGTACCTGTATAGTTGAGTATTTGTATTATGCGGATGTGCCCGTGTGGCGTGTAAATGTGTGTATTTTGTGCGCTGTTCGTTGGAAAATAAAAAAAAACTGTTTACATCGGTTTCGCACTGTGCGCGGGGTAGGCTAGCGTTTCGGCGTCTGCGGGCCGTATGCGTTATAGTAACGTGGTCCCGGGGACGTCGAGTGCGCTCGGCTTCAGTCGTACTCAGAATTCCTTGGCGTCCGTCCAAGATCCCCCGTGTGCGTGTGACTAACGGACGACGGGCTCTGACAATCAGGAATCCTCGGTCACACCCCCTAAACTTCAGTATTCCACCCTCTTCCGGATATAAAAATATGTGTACGAAATATAGATTTGTGGCTTATATAGCATCGACCACGCGATTTCCGTGTCTAAACAAAAAAACTAAGTTATTGCAAATTTAATTACTAATTTACCACGATTATAATATAAAACATTTAACTTTTTTGATACTATTATTGTGCTATAAAAAGATTAATATCTATTATGTTTTCATCGTTGGAAGTAAAAATCCCATCCCTAACTGTGAGTATCTGCAGGATAAATCAATAACGTCACCAATACAATATAAATTTCGAACTCCAGTAAAGAAAAAAATTTAATTAAGTTTGAATATTTACTAAATTGTGTAGAATATTGATAAATAACCAACATTATTTTTGTCTTAGTTAATGCACTTTAATATATTTAATATATAATTATACATCTCTTTCCTTGATTTTTTTATATGACGCAGTCAAAACAATAATTTAAATAACTGGTACAATAGAGAGAACATTAAATTTTTTTTTTTATTTTGAGTTATATTTTTTTCTTAGTCACAGTCATTGCTTACTTTATGTCTTTGCCTCCCCTTTAATACAGGCCTGTAAATTCTAACACGAAATAAAAATGTTTTAACATTATCTTATTATAATCAGTTTTAGATTGTGGAGGTATATGTACGTATATATATATAATATGTATATGGATATATTATAAAATGTGTATTATAAATGTAATATATAGGTACGCTATACGAATATTTATGGATGTTCGCATAAGACTAGGAATTTATAATTAATCGCGCAAAAATATGCAGCTAGACCCTAGAGGAAATCTATATTTAGAACTCGATGCGAACCCCGGCGAATTTATGGCCCAGTGTGGGCAGCAGCCCGTTAACGATGCACTTTTTCGCACTTTTACCCGTGCTTCGGGGTCAAAGATAAGCTGCATATACGCGCGGGGAAGTAGTGAAAACCTGTGGCCATCAACAAACTCAACGGACCGGGAACGCGCACAACCAGAGCCCAAGGGCGCCAAGATATAATATTCTCTATACCTATACTGCAAATGATAGATGTGTGAGCTATAAAAAAATGCCACCGACGCGAGACTTAACCCAATTATATTATACTGTACATATTAGAACAGGGTGGAGGAAGGTGGTTGCGTTTGTTTATCAATGCTGTACCGAGGTATATACCCGCTACTATAAGTCTCGAATATGTTCAATTAAAATTGCATTCTTGGCGCCGTGTTCCTATTGCTGACACCGCATCGAATGTACAGCAATTGTATACATATCATAGTGATTATACTACTGCGCAGTGCGCATTATTCAATACATTTTTAATGAAGATCGACAATACATTTATTTCAATATTTTGGATATTATTAGTGCGATACAGTGATTTTACCGTTTAACTAATACCTGATATAATCGTGATAAGCAATTACATAAATTATATAATATATTGTATATCCATACTATACCGAGCATTGATTTATAATAAAACGCCAACGCATGTGGTTATAAAAAAATAAAATATGGTTTTGTCCTTCAAATTTGACACCTGCAGGCCTCATCGAATCAAAATAAAATAAACTAGATTTATTTGTATGTATGTATAATAATAAGTACCATTTTGTAGACTATACATAAAATAAAATAAACTATAAAATCAACAAAATGTACGATTTAAGAAATAAACAATGATGGCGTAAGTACCTACTGCAAATATCTAAAATAACAAAATCTAAGATACTACTATTAGAAAAATAAAACTAAAAAAATACCGTTTCTTCAAATAATTCAAACGTTATGTCTATAACAATTATATTCGGTTATTTCATTATTATTTAAGATTGATTTTATCATCCTCAAAATCATCAAAATTTATGATACGAATTGGTTATAAAATTAGTTTGCGGACGGCGATTCAAACAGATGACACACAAAAAACATCATCATAATATACTTGTATCAATATTTTGATTCCGAACAATATTCTTCTATTAAATAGTTAGTGACAACGCAGAATTATATTATTATTTATTTATTTTACCAAAAAATACTGCAGTAATATTGTCATTTGTTATTCAACAATTTTGAAACTCATTTTTAACGTTCATACAATATATACTTGACGACATTGAATGAACAAAAATAAATTTAAAGCATAATATAGAAAATTTAAATTGAAAAATGTCTAATAAACTTACGCAAAAAAATGTTAAATGTTCAAATGAATTTCCTTAGAAAGTAATTATTTTCACTATAACAATATGTTAAGATTTTAAGAATTCCTGGCACAAATTCATGGAACTTTAAGTGATAGCAGACTTACTTAACCAAACAATTTATGTAAACATTATATAATATGATCACTGTTGTTGGCAAATAAATGATCATAATTATTATAATTTCAACACGTGAAAAGTGTTTTACAACTTTATAAGATGGAAGTGGAGAAAACGATTGAAAAAATCTTATTTAATTTATTGCACAATTACATTACAATGTAAAAAAGGTTTTCATGCATATTTTAAATTAGTTCTTACTGAATTTTTAAAAACAATATTAAGTATTGTTATTTATATAATTTAAATTTTAAACATTTTGAAACAGTAAAAGATTACAATATTGGATTTTAATTTATTAAAGCTAAACGGCTGAAAATGCAAATACCCAGTAAAATCTGCTTACAAAAAAGTTACTACTTGTAGGAATAAAAATATAGAGAATATAATATTCCAAATGATATTTTTGTAAGACATATAAAATTAGATACTAATACAATTAAGTGCACAAAACGAAGAATATATCCAAAACAATCAATGCATATTTTATTGGCCACATTTCAATTGGGTATCATTCAGACTGCAAATAGAGCAGTTTATTGTTAATAAACCAATGTAATAAAGTAACGTAAATTGCTTTCTCTGAATATAACGAGTATTTGTTGAGACGGTAAGAAGAAAATATTAGTCAGTGAAAATCTACTAGATATATTTTTAATTTTTCATACACTAAACACAAATTAATGTACACATTCATAAATGTTTACCATTGTAAGATATAATTAAGTTAAATATTCACAGATAATTTAATTATTAAAGTAAACACCCACAAATGGATGATTCTCTCTATTAGAGGAGAAAGATGAAAAATATAAATGGACTGAAATATATATATATTAATTTTATAATTAAGTCTTCCAAAACGATGAAAGATGTTGGGGTATATGTTAATAATGTACCTACACCAATGAAATTTGGATTTTTCCAAAATGAGTGGCCACAGAACAGGAAAATTGTCCCACAAAACTCTGATCCAACATCAAACAACGTATTTACATTTAATATCACTAAGACTAAGTATATAACATGCGTGTATAATCTGATATATGCAGCAAACAGGAAGAAGAACGCATGGGCGCGCGAATCGTCGTGGGCGCCTTCGGTAAGAATGGATCGAACCAGCTGATCAACAGGTTTATACTGCTATTTCGCGGTGATGATCGTGTGTGTGTGCACATATATATATATATATTTGTGTGAGTGTGTGATACAGAGAAAAATAGTATACTGGTTCGCCAAAGCGACGATATATATATAATTTTTTTTTTTTTTTTATCCAGGTGGGCGACTGCGATGGGCGTAATAATGCAATAATATCCGAATTACGAAGACAAAATAAGAACGGAAAGACGCCCACTGCACTTGAAATACACAGTGTTTTTATTCTGTAAAATCTATAAATTAAAACAAAAAAATGCTGCCAACTRACCACCATTAGACTTTCATACGTATATTTTTTTTATGCTCAGTGTAAGTCATTTTAAACAACAACCACTACTATATTATTCCCTACGAAGTGTAAAAAAAATAGTAAAAAATCTTCATAATTTCCTATTGTTATTTTATTACTGTGGATAACTCCATCTATTATCAAAATCATACTCATTTTTCCTTAAGATGAAAACTGATAACAAATTATATAATATACATAGATAACTAGATACTGACCTAAGTTAACTAAATTAATTATGTAAAGAAGTACCTAATCGTGAATTAAGAACGTTAAGTAACTCTATTAAAAACATAAGTATACTGTTAGCCACGACTAATGGCTAATGGCTATTGCAAACGTGTAAGCTAATATCCAAATTTCGAATAAATAGAAGATAACAAACCAATTTAATATAAAATATAAATAATACGTACCAATAAGGAAAAATGTTATAAAAATAGGTACAGTCCATTAAAAAAAAAAGTAAATTGTGACTAGTAATATATAGTAATATAATAATATAATAATAATGAATAATAAGCTATTATGAGTATATAATATATTATATATACTATACCAGGCGTAACAGATAAAACTGACTTTTAGAATAACTTTTGTTCAAATTAATATTTTTTTTTTCATTAAGTGTCCCTATAGCGCTACATAATGTATGATACATTTTTTTACGTTTATTTTTTAGTAATGAAACAAAAAAATAATTTAAAAAAGTTTTTTGGATAAATTCAAAATAGCCTATTTATGAATCTGATTATAAAAACAATTTTGATGTTAAAAAGCTTTATCTAACTCAAATATTTTATTTTTTTAGAATTTTTTTAAAATTCAATATTTTTTTGATTACCTAAATTAATTTGGAAAGTAGTAATTTTTTTTTAAATGCGATTTTTGAGAATTAGCTGACATGATTATATTTCTTAAATTATTTACGTATCGTATAATATTAACAATTTTTGTCATACGTTTAATTAGCATATTTTTTTTTGTCACACTCTGTATATAAATAATTATGATTTATAGTTTATACATAAAAATATT